ACACAGACAGAAAAATCAATTTTAATCGCCCAGACATAGTGATGAAAGACAACAAAAACGGAATTCTTATTGACATAGCAGTTACTGCAGAGTGTAATCTTGAAGTGAAAATCTCAGAAATGTGTCACATGAAGACATCAATAATTCCAGTTGTGGTTGGAGCCATCTGTTTGATTTGGAAAAGTTCTGATTATTTGAAAGGGTCCCCAGCAGCCTATGCTTTAAAGAAATCCCCCAAAAGTCTTCATACAGGTACAGCTGACACATTATAAATAGAATTATCTATGTAAAATATATGTGACCCTATGCCGTTTTATTTTTATTTTTTGGGACCTAGAAGGAAATCAGTATACAACAGACATCCGAGGAAATAATAATAATAATAATAATAATAATAATAATAATAATAATAATAATAATTTTGGAAAGAAATGACATACTACCACTTGAACAAAAAGGGTGCAAACGAGGCTGCTACGGATGTAAAGACCAATTACTTATTAATAGGATGATCCTGGAAAACTGCTTCCGTGGAAAAAAAAAATCTTAGTATTGCCTGGATAGATTATCGTAAAGCATTCGATAGTGTACCACATTCCTGGATCTTAAAGTCTTTAAGTATGTACAAGGTATCACCGTTATCATCAATTTCATCAAACAATGTATGTCGATATGGAAAACTACACTTTACCTCAATCATAAAAATGGAACCTATAAGTCTGGCGAAATAAACATCAATAGAGGAATATTTCAAAGGTGACTCTTTGTCTCCTTTATTATTTTGCATATCACTTATAGCATTAACCAGCCAACTTAACAAGACAGAATGCGGTTACAAAATAGCTCAAAAGAAAATAAACCATCTATTTTACATGGATGACTTAAAATTGTATGCTAGGAATGACAATGAGCTGGAAGGTCTTCTGCAAACTGTAAAATGCTTCAGTGAAGACATCGGAATGAAATTCAATTTGGATAAATGTGCTAAAGCTACAGTTTTACGAGGATCTACAACAAACTTCCTCTATTAGTTTAGACCCTGCTGTAACAATAAAAGATTTAGAACAAGGAGAAGCTTATAAGTACCTAGGTGTAAATGAGAGTGAAGGAATTCACCATAAGAAAATGAAAGAAATAGTGCGTAAAAGTACTATAGAAGGGTACGACTGGTATTAAAAACTGAATTGAATTCTCAGAACAGAATTATGGCCATTAATAACCTAGCCATCCCAGTGGTCCAATATAGTTTCAACATCTTGAACTGGACTCTAAATGACATCAGACAAATGGATTCTAAAACAAGAAAGCTTCTTTCTAAGTATAAGATGCATCATCCAAAGGCTGATGTAGACCGTCTATACATACCCCGTAAAGAAGGTGGAAGAGGTCTTATTCAGCTAGAATTGTCATACAAGACAACAACTATTGGCTTACTAACTTACATGGAAACAACAAATGACTGGATGATAAAATTAGTGAAACAACATGAAAACAGAAAGAAAAAATATTCAATAATAAAAGAAGGAAGTAAATACAAACAACATTTACATTTAGTAGATTCTGTAGTAAATCAAAACAGAAGCCAAGAACCAACTATTGCAGCAAAAGATATGAAAAAGAAAGCCAAGGATAAAGCCCTTGAACAGATGAAACAACGCTGGCAAGACAAACCTCTGCATGGCCAATATCCAGAACGTGCAAATAAACCCAATGTTGATAAAGTTAATACTCATCGATGGTTACGAGCATCTGGATTAAAGTCTGAAACTGAAGGCTTTATTCTTGCAGCGCAAGACCAGAGTCTTTTCACTAGGAATTTTCAGGCAAATATCATACATAATAATGTGGATCCAAAATGCAGGTTCTGTGACAAATACCAAGAAACAATAGACCATCTAATCTCAGGATGTTCTATACTTGCCCCAAATGAATATAAAAATCGTCACGATAGAGTGGGGCAATACTTACACTGGACAATGTGCAAACACTTTGGAAAATGTGTAAGCAAACACTGGTATGAACATCGGCCAGCGCCGGTTACAGAAATAGAAGATGTCACCATTCTATGGGATTATACCATCCACACAGACAGAAAAATTGAAGCAAATAGGCCGGACATTATTGTCAAAAACCAGAAAGAAAAAACTTGCCTACTAATTGATATGGCTTGTCCAGCGGATTGTAACATAGCAACCAAGGAATTTGAAAAACTATCAAAATACAAAGACCTGGAAATTGAAATAGAAAAATGTGGAAATTGAAAACAAGAATAATACCAGTGGTAATAGGTGCACTTGGAATTATAAAAAAAATGGAACAAAACAACACATTGAAAGAATCCCTGAAACCCCAGCTTAAGAGACATACAGAAAATTGTCTTATTAAGTACAGCACACACACTAAGGAGAACTTTGTCTATGTAACGCTAGCAACTTCATCGAGATAAAAAAAAAAAAAAAAAAAAAATTAACATGAAATGTGGCCATAATAACACACCACGACCTGCCTTAGGTCTTTCCGCAGACTTGGTAGGTAGTGTGTCCATAGCAGAAATAATAATAATAATAATAATAATAATAATAAATAGAAATCTCGAAAATGTGGCATATGGGAACATCAACAATCCCTGTTGTAGTTGGAGCCCTAGGACTGGTTGGAAAAAAGATTGCAGTAGACTAATTGAAAGGATTCCTGGAAGTCCATGCCTCAAGGAGATACAAAAATTGTTCTGACAAGTACAGCCCACACCCTTACGAAGGGCTTTATCTATGTAATTTTTTTTTTTTTTTTTTTTTGTCAGTGGAAAGTGTCATGTTGCCATTTCTAACCTTAGGTCCCTGGGCGGGACCCGGAAAGAAATGTGTAAACGGTAGAAATCAAAGAAAATAAAATAATAATAATAATAATAATAATAATAATAATAATAATAAGAAGAAGAAGAAGAAGAAGAAGAAGAAGAATATCCCATATATTAAGTGCTATCAATTAAATGATAATTCTCCTATAGGGCCTAAGGACCTTAATTTAGACCCGGCTCTGCAGGATACAAAGCAGCAAACATAATATACACAAATAATAATAATAATAATAATAATAATAATAATAATATATTATAAAACAAGAGTTGATTCGCTGTGTGTCATGTAATGCTTTTTCTTATGTCGGTATTGTGCGTGAGTGAATTACATGTGTTTGTGCCATTACACACATACACACACAATGTCACTCAGTTTAAAAAAAAAAAGAAAAAAAACATACCCAGAGCTGAGCATTGAAATCTTAAATTTGAAGAAAAAAAAATTTCCAAACCACTCCCCATTTATCAAAAATCAACTATTATAAGTTTGTTTTTTGTTTTTTTTTATTTTTCCAAAATTGTTCGGTAATGAATAGAATTATTTTAAAAGATTATCTTTTTTTAACTGTAGAAATATTTTTCGCCCTTCTTAACTGAATTAAAACATATATGCACACACGCAAACATATATATACACAATGTGAATGAAACTGAAATGTGCCTCTTTCCTGCTAGTGATAATTTTACTTTCTTTCGAGCAATACAGCTTAGAATTACTTTGATTTAGAATTAATTTTCTTTTCCTTTTTTTTTAAATGAACTTATATATGTATATCTATAGTGATGGGAATGTTTTTTTTTATTTTCCAAACACGGTCAGCACAATAATATCAGATGTCTGTGTTTGGCAAAATAAAAATAATATTCCCATACATACATAAATTTCTACATAATCTGTGAAAATTTAAAAAAAAACAACAAAAAACTTGATAATGACAAATAAAATAACCGAAAGAGATAGGATATACAAACAAAAATTCGGATAGTTTTATATACTTTATGTCCATAATAGTAAACACTTACACCAACACAAGAAAAATTAATCACAGTACCTTGTTAGTCGTCTTCCATGAAACTGGTATAAAAGAGAGATTGCTACCCATATATATATATATATATATATATATATAGCATTTACCGCTGGTGGTTCGCTGTCGGACCGTCGGCATGTTCCTCTCAACAAAGTTACCACAGGGGAACCACTAGAGGCCCACCGGTGGCTGCCACCAGGGGACCACAGGCGCTGCTATCGGTGACCCGCCAGCGGGCCACTAGCAGCCACTAGGAATATATATATATATATATATATATATATATATATATATATATATATATATATATATGGGGGATATAGGAAATAACTGTTAGGTTAATAATCCAAAGTACTTTAGTATTTTTTGTTTTTTTTTTTATGAAATAAGGACAACAACAATAATAATAAAGAATGATGAAATTTAAATAAAAAGAAGAAGGAAAGATAAAACAAACAAAAAAGATATATATATATATATATTCTTTTTTTTATAGATACAAACATTTAAGTAAATGCTCTGTTTTATAATAAACAGTATTAACGACATTTACCGGCCTGAATATCAGAGAGATTGTCAGTGAGCATTTACTTAAATATGTGTATCTATAAAAAGAATGTGTAAACATAAAAATGTCTTTAAAATAATTGTCAGACTTTGTCCATTTCATAATGTATGGCGTCATTTGTTCACATTTGGATACGCATCGAGCAGATATGAATGTCCGTGAGAAAATCATGGAAAATTGTAGTTTAAAAACAGTAATATCGACTTCGTTAATCGAACGGCTCCTCTGTGGCTCACTCGGTAAAAGCACGTCAGGCTATATGACGGTTCCGTATAGGATACAGGTTCGATTCTTGTCGGAGGATGTATATTTTCTATGACAATTTCTCGGACATTCGGGCCGGTAAATGTTGTTAATACTATTTATTATAAACAGAGTATTTACTTAAATGTTTGTATCTATAAAAAAAGAATATATATATATCTTTTTTGTTTGTTTTATCTTTCCTTCTTCCTTTTATTTAATTTTCATTATTCTTTATTATTATTGTTGTTGTCATTATTTCATATGAATTTTGTGGCTCTCACCCACCATCATCGCCTGTATGAATATTAAACAAAATTTTTGGATTATTTATCAATTTATCATCAGTTTCATTTTTTTCAATTTTCTTTTTTTTTTTTTTTTTTTCTTCATTATCTCTCCCCCCCCCTCTCTCTCTCTCTCTCTCTCTCTCTCTCTCTCTCTGTTGCACTTTTATTTGATTTGTCTTTCCATTGTTTGGCAAGAAATTCATTTTTGCCGAAGGCAGTAGTGTTGTAGAAGTGTTGGGTAGGAAACTGTTTAAAGCCCATTTAATCCCGCGGGGAAAGTTTCATTCCTCTCCTCTTTTGCTGTGTCCTCTTTTGCGCCAACCCTTATTACCAACCACAGCGCCGCCTATGTGTATCTTATTTTTCCCCACTCCCTTTAAAAAGGAAGAAAAAAGCCTCTAGTCATGGACTCGAGCTTGTGATGGCCCGGGTCCACCCGGAAAGGCGTCTGAGTTGAAAACTAAAAACAAATAAATAAATGAAAAAAAAAATTAAAAAAAAGACATTGAGAGAGACGGCGGAGGTGCATTTTTCAGTCGTTTCCCCATTTCTTTCGCTAGTATTTAAAAAAAAAAATTGTTAGTCTTCTTTATGTAGACAGAGAAATCTATGTGTGCGCGTGCGTGTGTACATAGTGTGTGTCATGTAACTGAGAATGTATACACAGTGTAACCCGGATATAAGAGACCCGGATATAAGAGAAACCCGGATGTAAGAGAGATTTTCTCTGGTCCCAAATTAGAACCGGTGTTAATGTATATAAATTAGACCAAACCCGGATATAAGAGACTTCTTCTCCGGTCCCGCCAACTCTCTTATATCCGGGTTACACTATATATATATATATATATATATATATATATATATATATATATATATGATGAAAATTTCTCTGATTTAACCAGTAGAGAAGACAATATTTATGAATAAAAATGGCAATAGGAAAACTGGTAATTGCTTTGATAAACTCCACATTGGACGAAACGCGTCAGCAATTACCAGTTTTTCTATTGTCATTTTTATTCATATATATATATATATATATATATATATATATATATATATATATATATATATATATATATATATATATATATATTGAACAATAGAAAAAATATTAAAAATTAAAAACTTCATACTTCACACACACTGGGTTGTAGATTAATATTCTTTCGTTTTTTATTATTATTTCATCATTTAGATTCCTCGACTCATATATATATATATATATATATATATATATATATATATATATATATATATATATATATATATATATATATATATATATATATATCAACTAGAGTCTAAGCGTCGGGCAATTCCTTGCGGTGTAAATGTTAGCAAGCTTGTCTTGCGAGATCAATTACGACCGCATTGAGTTCGTCTCTTACTAATTGCTCCACATCTAGTCTACTCCCAGAAATCCATTTTGGGCATCTCGAGGTGGTGTAATCATTAGCAAGGTCGTCTCCATCTATCAATTACGACTGAGTAGTTAGTTCGATTCTCGCTAGCTGGACCATACTTTTTGCCCATATATCACATCTAAACTTCGCTTAGTAAATAACTATAGGCCAAAAGTTTCGGGCTACCGTTTGGAATTCAAAGAATAGACTAAAAATTAAATATTGCGTGCCTTTTTCAAAATTAATTTACTTGCATCAGACTGACTATATTTTATCACTTAAACGTTGTTTTTAGTAGATACTCATATTTCAGTGGACGCCCCGTTTAGCTATTAATCGGCATATTTATGTATTTCCATCTAAAGGCCTGAAAGATCATTTTATTATATTATACTAGACCATTCGTTCGTCCAACCTTATTGTATTACTGTTTACATTTAGTTTAATCGGGTTTTTGTGAAAGTTAAGAGATTTCATTATTAAAAATACATTTGGTTGCAGTTATTGTAGTTACTTTCAACATGAAAAAATTGTCTGAAAAAAGTTCAAATAAAAATACTTACTGCATAAACAAATCGTATTTTTAAATCATATTATAAAACATTGGTGTTGCTTTCAACATTGAAAAATTTGTCTAAAGAAAGTTGAAATAAAAGTATTGAAAATATTGTTTTTTTTTTAAGAAAGAGCAAATATAAATAACCATGCACAATCATGGGAAGGTGGAGAGAGAAAGAGAGAGAGAGTGAGAGAGAGAGATGGGTGGAAGGAGAGAGCGGTTTTTCCTCCATTTCTTTCTCTCCCCCGCTTCCTACACGATAATAAATTCATATCTTTCTTTCACCCACTCTCTATATATGACTTCTGGCAAACACACATGCAACGTTCACAGACTTTTATAGCAATAAATTTTATATATAGATAGATAGATAGATAGATAGATAGATAGATCTAGTGAGCCAAACAAACCTACCTAGGTTTCACCTAAACGGATCGTTAGGGAAAGTTGGCTCACTAGGTGTATCTAGGTCTGCTCTACGGTTGTATTGAGGTCTTTTGTTAGTTAGTTGTTTACTCGTATCGGTGTTTTTTCTTTGGGCTTCAGACCTGCATCTGCGCGATTTTTTTTGTCGGCAGAAGTTCATGTTTGTAGCTCTTTCTTTTTTTAAAACCTTTTTTTCCCTCGAGATTGATTTGATTATTAGCAAATCAAAAATTCGAGGGTTTTTCGAAACGAATCTAGTTATATATACATATATATATATATATATATATATATATATGTGTGTGTGTGTGTGTGTGTGTGTGTGGTGTGTGTGTGTGTGTGTGTGTGTGTGTGAGAGTTTAAAAATCAGGAAGTCAATTAAAATACGCGACCATGGTTTCGACCTGGCGGTCTCGTCGGGCGTTAATTTCAAAATGACCACTTAAACACTTTATTTAAACAAAAAACCCCACAAAGAACGCTACATTATCTTTCAAAAAAAAAAAAATAACAGGCATGATGATTGAAAGAGAAGACATTTGGGTGTAACGGGAGGGAAAGAATGGAAAAGGACAGGAATGCAAGTGTATTGTAAATGCCTACAGTAAAAAGGGAAATTAAATATGTAACTTAATTGTTATGGAGGATGGGGGAAGTTATTTTTATTTTACTTATTTTCTCACGTGCATTGAGTACTTTTTAATACTACTTTTCCCTAGTCTGAGTCAACTCTGACCATTAACCATTATATATATATATATATATATATATATATATATATATATATATATATATATATATATATATCCAACTATAGGATTGGTGTATACGGAATAAATTCCAATAACTGAAAAAATACTATTCTTAAACGCCGGCTCAATGTAGAGCAATAATTATTACTTATTCGAAAATTATAACATAAATATATAAGACACCAGAAGTGTTGAAACAAAATGGCTATTTTTGTAGTGATTTTATAACATATTTATGTTATAATTTTCGAATAAATAATTTTATATATATATATATATAAAGTTTAAAGTCCGACAATTATTTTAATATATTTTCTGCTTATACGTTAGTTTATAAATACAAATATTTAAGTAAATGCTCTGTTTAAAATAAATTGTATTAACATTAAACCAGCCTGACTGTCCGAGTAATTTCATAGAAAATATGTGTCTTCCGATAGGAGTCGAAGCTGTATCCTACACGGAAACATTATATAGCCTGGCGTGCTATACTATTTAGCTACAGAGGAAGCGTCTGGTTAGCAAGGTCGAATTACTGTTTTTAAACTATTATATTCAGGCCAGTAAATGCTGTTAATACTGTTTATTATATTTGCTTAAATATTTGTATCTATAAGAATAACGTATAAACATATAAACACGCACACACACACATATATATATATATATATATATATATATATATATATATATATATATATATATATGCTGTGTGTGATAATTGAGAACAAATATCAAGAAAAAAAGGATATTCAATCGAAAAAATCACTCCATTTTAATATGAAAAATATAGTACACTTGAAGACACGGTAGAGTAATGGATAGTGCCTCGGATTGTGGAATCAGAAAGCCGAGTTCGAATTTAGTCAAGTTCTTTCCATTAACTTCTGTACAACTTCGGAAAAGTATGAATCCATCTCTTCTCCCCCAGCTATGGGTAAATAGCGGGACAGACATGCTCCTATAGCTTCAGTTGGCAACCAGTCTAGGAGAAAGAAAACTCAGTATTCAAACCACCTGCTGCATTGTAGGTCTTGTCTCTTTAACCTCTGAGAGAAGGGGTAACCTCAGCTCCGGTTCAAAAGGAAGCTATTGCACTATTCTGCTTTGAATGTCACCACAATTGTGAGACGGAAGGGGATGTTGACCTCGGCGGCGCAAATCTGGTTTCACTATCAAGGACGGTCTTATTTTTATTAATCCTGCCCAAATCAGATGACTGCTCTTTATAATTGTTACCACGTCTGCGATAATCTTAGACGAAAATGAAAATAATTATTAATTTCTTCCTTCCTCATGTTCGGTTCTTCTTTGGTCTACTTCCTTTCCTCGTCGGCTGTGGCTGGGGTCCTTCCCCTTTACCAAGCCACTGTCTACGACGCTTAACATTTCGATAAAAGATCCATTTTTCGTTGCCAGTCACAAGTCTGTCCAAAAAAGGTGAAACAAATTGGCGAGAATGGAGAGAAGAGTAGATGTCAACTCGGGATTTTAGGTTGTTTTCAGACAATTCATGAGGCACCCATTTTCCAAGTTTAGGAACTTTGCCAAGTTGTTGAAGATGACGATGAACAGTTGTATGGTTTGAACTGAGAACCACTGCCAATTCCTCAACAGATAAAGCAGGATTTATTCACGCACAGAAAATACGAATTTAGTAATAGCTAAGTACTTACAACAAGACTCGAACCCTCCTTAACTATCAGTGGCTCGCGAGATCACTGCACTGATCTGGAATCTAATACAAGTCGCCCTGTCATCTCTACATTTCTTTCTTTCTTTCTTTCAAATCATTCTTTGTTTCTTTCTTTCTTTTACATCATTCTTTGTTTCTTTCTTTCTTTCTTTGTTTCTTTCTTTCACGT